GGGAACTTTGTAACTCGTCGTTTACGTCGATTCTTGACGTCGATTCTTGCCAAATAACTGCTAACTAAGAAAATTAAACGCGAGGGTGGAAATTTGTTGGTTGCAGCGGAAAAAGTGGAGCGCACAAAGTGGAAATTCATGCAGTTGTTTATATTTTCGTAATTTTTTCAGTTAGTGGTGTTTTTTTGTAATTTTCTTTGAGTTTAAACAAATTTGTAGTCGCTACCGCTGCCAACACTGCATCAACACATTGCTGCAGTCGCCGCTGTTGGCGTTGTTACCGAATAACGAATTTTTTTTGCATATACGGCAATAAAAGCCTTAAACAAACAAACTCAAGCAAAATGATTAAGCTAAGGAATTTATCGAACGTTATCAATAACACAGCAGTACGCTCCATAGCTACCTCAGCACCACTCAACGAAGCCGATTCATGGTTTTCTAAGTTGTTGGTGCGTAAAATTGAGCCAACTAAAGAATCACACAGTCGTATGCTTAGTGATAAGGAAATCATTTATGCCTTGCATACGCACAATGTACGTCCCGGTTATATGGATGACTATTTGAAGAATTACAAAACTTCTGTACAATTAGTTAATGAAAAGAAAGCAATTTTATCATGCAACTTGGTCGCTTCTTGGACCGTACATGTCGGAGATATGGATCAGTGTTTGCATTTATGGAAGTACACTGGCGGTTGTGAAAAGATCGATATTGCCAAGGAAGATTTGTGGCATGATGAGGAGTACATGAGTTTAATGAATGAGCGCATAAAATATTTACGTTCACGTCATTTACAATATTTGTTGGCCTTCAGCTACTGGCCGAAAATCGAAAATCGTCCAGACAAACATATCTACGAGATGCGTTCATATCGATTAAAACCCGGTACAATGATTGAGTGGGGCAACAATTGGGCGCGAGCCATTAACTTCCGTAAACATAACAACGAAGCTTTTGCCGTTTTCTTCTCACAAGTCGGCCGTCTATACAATGTGCATCATATTTGGTGCTACAAGTCTTTATTGGACCGTAAGGAGACACGCGAAGCCGCCTGGCGTTCACCCGGTTGGGATGAATGTGTTGCCTACACAGTGCCACTCATTAAAGATATGCACACACGCTTTTTAGCTCCTACTGAGTTCTCGCCAACACAGTAGAGCAAAGATATAATACGTAAACAGATATAGCCAACTTTTTTCTTTTTTATTGCCAGCTACTTTATTTTTTAAGCAATTCTATGCAAATGGTGTGTAACATACACATACTCATTTAAAAAGCTGCTGACGGCACACACTCGTCAGCATAATACGCACAATATTAATAACTAACAAACGCTTCACATCATGTCAACATTTTATAAATTTTGTGTTATTTTCAGATTTTTTTCTATAATCCACATAGCTAAGTTTAAAGTATGTATCTGCAATTGTTGAGCTTATTTAGTTAATATTCTATAAAAGAAAAGAAAAACTACATATGTATATATGTTTATAGCCAACCAATTTTTATCATGAATACTTGTGTATAACTTGTTGCTACGCATCCGAAAATTGTTACTAAAAATCACTTTTTTGGAAAAAATCCATCCATTGTCCGATAATTTTGGAATAACGAATAAAATGTGGGACAAATGCAGGACACTTGGGGAAAATTCAGTACATTTTCAGGTTTTTCAGATTTGAAAAACTACGCAGGACCGCCCTTTGAAAAACAGTCCCAAGCTGGAAGCACAATTGGATCCATATCGAAAACTTGCAAAATTTCGGGCGGCACAAAAGATTTGTCGATCACAACTTCAAAACCGAATTTTTGTAAGCCCGATTATAAGTGCGGCAGGGGCTCATGTTTTTTACATGGTTAATTTGGAAATATATAAATTTTAAATAAACTCACATAGTTAACAAATATGCCAACTGACTTGATTGGATATTTATATGCTGCTACTGTGGCTGCTGGTGGCATTACAGGCTATGTTAAAGCCGGTTCCATTCCCTCGTTGGGCGCTGGTTTGGCCTTTGGTGCTATACTTGGCGTAGGTGCACATTTTAATTCACAGGAGCCCCCACGTCCACTCTTGCAGTTGGGCACAGCGGTTGCTTTGGCCGGCATGATGGGTGCACGTTGGCGGCGTTCCGGAAAACTAATGCCTGCTGGCATGATTTGTGTGATATCCGTGGCAGCCATATTGCGAAATTTGGTTGCATACAACCGGTACTTGCCCCTCCCAGGAAGGCAGCAGTAAATGCGTATAGCTGCCTATATTGCTGGCATGGTAGACTCCATTAATTAAAGCCACGCTTAATTGTCGAATCTGAAAATGAAATGAATGAATTAAACAACACTATTAATTTAATAATCACAACAAACTTACCACGTGCCAAATCCAGAATGAAATTTTCAGTCATTCAGGAAGTTATTGCTGTGTCAAAACTTTGACATACGGTATTAGCTCAACGTTTGACATATGTGATTGGGCGAATTGCGAGCCTTCATAAGAGTAGGGCAAGCAGCACCATCTGGTTGTCAGGTGCACAACTTGATAATAAACTGCGAGAAAAAAAAAAAATTTCATTTTGTGGTGCATGCTATACAGTGCCGGTTCAGTTTATTAAAAATTTTTATTACATGTTGACGATTTTTACATGCAAAAGGCGTTTTTTTTGATAACCAAACTGACGCTTTCTCAATATAATCACCTGGCAACACTGATGCACTGTTTGCTGGCTTAGCCCGGTCTCGAACCCATAGTGAGGAAATTTTCTTTCGCCGTGCCAGGCCAAGTGGTGAAACTCACCACAAAACCACAAATTACACCTTTTACGAGATTACAAATTTCACGGTGTGTTCGGGGAAATAGTGATCGAAAAGTTTGTACTACATAAAGGTCTGTTCGATGCAAAAGCAAATGGCAACAAATGTAATGGGAATAAAAATCTTATAGCGATGGTCACCTTCCACAGATCTGTTTTTAACCCAAATACGAAACCT